TTAAATGCTCCTCATGTTCTACTTCACTTCTAGAATACACCAGTATATCATCAATGAATACAACTACAAACCGGTCCAAATAAGGTCGAAACACTCTATGCATCAGATCCATAAAAGCAGCAGGGGCATTAGTTAACCCGAATGACATCACTAAAAAACTCATAGTGCCCATATCGAGTACGGAAAGCAGTTTTCGGAATATCCGAATCTTTCACTTTGAGTTGATAATAACCAGATCGTAAGTCTATCTTTGAAAAGATAGAAGCCCCTCGAAATTGGTCAAATAGATCGTCGATTCTGGGCAGAGGATATTTGTTTTTCACCGTGAGCTTGTTCAGTTTCCTATAATCGATACAGAGTCTCAACGTCCCATCTTTCTTCTTGACAAAGAGAACTGGGGCTCCCCACGGTGATACACTAGGTCGAATAAATCCCCTGTCCAACAACTCCTGAAGTTGAACTTTCAGTTCCTTAAGCTCCTTTGGGGCCATACGATAAGGAGCCATTGAAATCGGGGTGGAACCAGAATAGACTTCAATCACAAACTCGACTTCTCTATCAGGAGGTAATCCAGGTAACTCCTCGGGAAAAACATCAGAAAATTCCTTGACAATTCGGATGCTTTCAATATCGGATTGCGATCTCCTAGTGTCCAAAATATAAGCAAGAAACGCCTCGGAACCCTTCCTGATCATCTTCTCCGCTACCAAGGCAGACACAACATTCGTCAGAAATCCCCGTCGTTCCCCAATCATTACAATCTTTCGATTATCTGGGGTCTTCAGAACAGCTCTCTTAGTCTCAAAATCAATATTTACTCGATGTTTGTCCAACCAATCTACGCCAAGAATCAAATCGAACTCTTCAAAGGGTAACTCCATCAGGTCAGCCAGAAAAATCTCCCCATTGATCTCTATAGGGCACTCTCTAAAAATACGATCCAACACAATAGATTGACCTAAGGGACTTTGAACTATCACTGAACGCTCAGTATTCTTAACAGGAATATTTAGACCCTCAGAAACGGAATGTGATACATAGGAATTTGTAGAGCCACTATCAAACAATGCAAAGTATGGAACTGAATGAATAGTAACAGTACCTGCAGTCACATCAGGCCCATCTCGATCTTGTCGAAGTCTAGCAGTGTAAACCAATGCAGGTTGTCTGGCTTCAGATCTGATTGGACCCCTACTCTGAGATGCTCGGCCTCTATTAGCCGATCCAGGTGCTCTCTCCTGAGTACGACCACCTACAGGAGTCTGAACAGTACTCTGAGTACGAGCGGGAGTACGAGCTGGCGTCTGAACTGTAGTAACTGATAATGGACAATCCCTTATAAAATGGTCACCAGAACCACATTTAAAACAGGTACCAAATTTTCTCCTGCATTCCCCAGGATGAGGTTTTCCACAATAATTACATGGCTGCGAACCAGAATCAACAGGTCTAGAAGATTGAATAGCTGAAGAACTGGATGCTACAGGCCTGGCACTTGCACTACCTCTCTGAAAAGATTCACCCTGCCCCTCTTGCTAGGATGTGCAGAAGAATTAACAGAACCAGAAGGCCTCCTGAATCGGGTTTGAGCTCGATCACTATCTCTCCGATGCTCCATACCCAGTCGCTCTATTTCCTCAGCAGTCTTGGCTATCTCAACCAAAGCATCAAAATTCCTCTCGGTGAGTAGCGACTCGACTCCTGATTTCATACCTGAGTCTATTCTCGAACCTCAAGCATCGATCTGTCTCGGTATCCACAAGTCCAGGAGCATATCGGCTCAATCGGATAAATTCAACCTCATAATCCATAACAGACATATTACCCTGCTCCAGATTCTGAAAACTCCTGGCGTCGCTCCTGCAGATATCTCTCTCCGATGTAGCGACTTCGGAAGCGCGTCTTGAAAAGATCCCATGTTAATTGGTTCCTCGGAATACTACCAGAAATGGATTGCCACCATCTGAAGCTTTCTTTCTTCAACATAGTTAGGGCCCCCTTTAACTTTTGCTCAGGTCTGAGGTCCATCTCATCCATAATCCTTTCTGTGTCCTCCAGCCAATACTCAGCGTCTGTCGGAGGTCCACCAGTAATACCCTCGAATGGTACTACACCAGCAGCAACCAGAGAATTTGAGATCTCCACTGCAGTCATGTTACTAGGGGCTCTAGCAGCTCTCTGAAACATGCGGAAGATAGCTCTATTAATGGCGTCTTCATTCATCTCAGAATCCTCATCTTCAGTGATGGGAGGGTCTCTCATAGGAGTAAACTGATCATCATGAGAAAGAGTCGGATCTACTTGCGGAACAGGAGGATCACGTGCTGACATCGGATCTTCTATCGTAACAGAAGGTCGAGTGACTCGCCCTCTACCACGTCCACGTCCTGTCCTACGACCTCTAGCAGTATTCATCGTTGGATCTATAAGGCTCTACAGAAGAATTTGAAACATATGTCAGATTAGCATCAGGGATCTCGATAAAACTTTAAATCATAACATAAGGTGACATTTTTTTTTTATTTCTTAAAAATTCAAAGTTTAGGACCCATATACAGTCCGAGTATTTAAAACCGAAAGCTCTGATACCACCAAATGTAACCCCCTAGACCTGGTCTGTGAGTTAGACCCAAACCTAAGTGGTCACATATCCCATTCAGAGGTTTTTTTTTTTTTTTCCACTTATAGGACGATAAATATAATATAGAACATAATATTAATAATACAAATATGTCCAAAACGATAATAAAATACATGTCACCAAACATAACCAAAAAAAAACATATAGAAATATATGTTCGTACAAAATAAAGTAGTTGATTTCTCCTGATGCCAAATCTGCTAGCTTACGGTCTGCTGTTATCTGAAAAATGTTAAAATTTACAGAATGAGCTAAAAAGCCCAGTGTGTTCCATACAGTGTATATAAAAACATACTGATAAAAATATTCCAGTAAAGTCGGTTTATGCAATCATGTCGTAAAAAAAAATATGAACACTACCCCCAGCCCATCACAACAGAATGTGTAGGTTCCCCAGAACCATACACCCAGCCCACACAACAAATAAGGCCCTGAGCACAAAGCCGAGGAACCTACGGATATACTTCCTTCAACGATACCCCCAATGATGGAGATGTTCATGAATGTATTTGAATGAAAACAATGATTAAATCTTTAAAACATAAAGTGTTCATGCTTAACAATAAATACAGAAATACGGAAATCAGAAGACAAGTCAGTAGTATACAGAATTTCAGATATCGAATATTCAATATTCAGAAGATCGGTATAAAATACCGTAACCAGAATTCATTTCAGAAATATGTGGCAAATCAGATGTCATATACATAATGTTCAGATGTATATTTTAAAACAGAAATAATAACACTGTCGGGAAACACACCTGTAACAGTCTGAGAAATCAGATAGGGAAGCCTATTGCTGGGTCTGTCGATCACGTTCTGCTGCAGCGCTAGATCCTACGAATTGGAAAAATCCATATTGGAATCCTAATATAAATAATCTAAATATTATTTAAATAATATACAGAAACCTACGGGTAATTCTCGTAGTACGCGGTTCAGGCTGATCTAACGAACGGATAATACCGGACCTAATTGATCCTTGTTCAGGTGAAACACGAGTACCTTCATAAAATATTTTATTGAATAAATCCTTTACCAAATCTCGTTTAAATAATCAAAATATTAAAATATTAAGCCTTTTGGGTTTACAAGCTCGATTCGGGAATTTCGGGTCAGAATTTGGCAAAACGGACTTCGGAATCAAATTCAGGACGTCGAAAAATATAAAGTATGACCTTCCGAAATTTCGAATTCTTGGTCAAAATTAAAGTCAACGGGGTTGATTGACGATTTGGAGACTTTCGGGTTTGAATTTAGCAAAACGGACCCCAAAAACGGATTCGGAACGTCGAAAACTATCAGGATAGGTATTCTTGGTCAAAAACAAAGGTCGTCTAATAGCTGGTCAAAGCCGGTCAAAGTTCTGGTCAAAGGAGGTCAACAAACTGTCAAACATTTTACACAAATAGCACCCTTTTTAAAAAAATTACCAAAATAGCACCCATTTCGAATTAATTCCCAGAATAGCACCAAAACCGAATTAATTCCCAGAATAGCACCGGTCAACGGTCAACGGGTCGGGTCGGGTCAACGGGTCGGGTAAACGGGTAAACGGGTCGTGACCGGTCAAACCGGTCAAAACCGGTTCAAAACCGGTTAAACCGGTCAAAACCGGTTTCCAGCGTTCACTCGCCTGGGCGGCGCGTGTGGGCGCGTGCGACGTCCTCCGGGGCTCTAAAAATCACGGAAAAATTTCTAAAAATTATTTTGAGCGATTTCGAGATACTTACAAAGATCGGTTCAAATTTTTGAACGGCGGAGAGCTCGATTTCGACTCGGCCGAATCTTTGACTGATCCACCTCCCCACGCGCCGCCGTCAACGGAGATCGAGGATGACACCGGCGGACTCGGAACGGCACAAGGAACACGATGGTGCGGGAGGTGTCGTAAAAGGAGCAACGATCGACGATGAATTTAGGATTTTCTAGGCGATTGAGCTTAAAAAAAAACGTCGATGCTTTGACTTGAAATTCACGACGTTTGGCAGTGTTTCGCTTCAATTAAATTGAGGGGATTGTTCCTGACTCGATAACGAACACGATGGTACTTTCAAAACGACGATCGGAATTCGGACGGTGTCAGAATCGTCGTCGGAAGTTGAGGTGCGTGGGGTAAAAACTTAGCAAATTGTTCTGGTATGAAACCAGAATCAATTTGCACGCATATAAGAAGAAGAACAATCTGCCGACACTCCTTGGCATTATTCAGTGATTGGTCACTGAATTTCCTCCACTTTTTAAAACATGCTACAAGTTTTAAAAACTTCCAATTAAATCCTCAAATTTCACCAATTAACTTAATTAAAACCTCAATTCCCAATTAAATATTATTTTAAAATTTTCGGGTTGTTACAAAGTGTTTTATCGAGGCAAATCCATTGAAAATGTCCCTAAACTGGTAATGCTATACTGCTTAAATGATATGTCGCTATAAAGATTCACTGCTGATGAACTCTCAGCTCTGTGTAAGTCCTGTTGTTCATCGAGCAAGAAGCGAGTCTCCTCACGGTTAACTTGATGACAAGGGTACTTGTAAATCCGTCTTGACCCGGCGAGCTCTAACACCACTTCTTTCATTGTAGGTCGTTCTTCGCCCTTCAACCGAAGACATCTCATTGCAAGATCTGCAATGGCTTCAAGTTGTTCTATGTTCCCCTCATTCGCAAGTCTGGGCTCCAGGATTTGCACAAGACGACCCTGTTGCATTGCTTGAATGAAGTAAGAAGATAAGTTATTTTGGGCTTCAGCTCTTTCAGATGACACCGGCAACTGCCCTGTAAGTAGTTCCACTAGCACCACCCCGAAGCTGTAGACATCGCTCTTCTCTGTCAGTCGGCTTGTTTGAAAGTATTCTGGGTCCAAGTACCCGAGGGTTCCTTTAACCAGGGTCGTTATTTGAGACTGGTCAGTGGGAATCAACCTCGAAGCTCCGAAATCTGCGACTTTTGCGGTGTAGTTGTCATCCAATAATATGTTGGAAGATTTGATATCACGGTGAATGATGGGAACCACGACTGCAGAGTGGAGATAAGCAAGAGCAGTCGCAGTTTCGGTGGCTATTCGTAATCGATCTTCCCACGGGATCAACCGTCTCCTGCTGGGATTATGAATATGGTAGTGAAGGCTCTCATTAGGAACATATTCATAAACCAGTAGCGGAACCTCAGTTTCCAAACAACATCCCAAGAGCTTAACGACATTCCGATGATTGATTTGAGTGAGCACCACCACCTCATTGATGAACTCATTGATACGATTCCTGTCGACCATTCTCGACTTCTTTACGGCGATGACCCGACCGTTGCACAGAGTTCCTTTGTAAACTGTTCCACTGCCTCCTCGACCAACCACTCGACTCTCTGCGTAATTGTCAGTGGCCTCTGCTAACTCTTGTGTAGTAAAGATTTTTGGGGGTTCTCCGGAACCTTCATGGAAAGCAATTTGCTGCAGCAGCAAGAAACCTCCATTTTGTCTGAAGTATTTTTGTTTGAGGTTCATTAACTCTCGTCTCTTTGTGCACATGTATACAGATGGGGCTAGGAGAATCACGAACAAGAGACAGCCAAAAACTGCGACGTATTGGAATTTGTTTAGTTAGTTCGTGTAAATAATTATTTTACCCTTTGAATCATCATATCGAAGTATGAGGTTTTACGTAGAACAAGCGGCAATGGAAAGCTGCAACTATAGCTACCAAGTGAATTAGTGCAAGAAGCGTTGCCTTGATGATGACTGAGGCGAGGCACATCTTTGTCTTCAAGAATCCATATTCAAAACTATGTGTTAGTTGATAGTAAACAATTTGCTAGATGACATAAAATATTATTGAAGGAAAATGTCGCATCATAAAAATGAATAAGACGAAAGAAAAAAAACCCTACTGAATTCCCAGTTGTTCCAATTATAACATTAAATTTTTGTTTCAATTTTAATTTTAATGACACGACGACATGAACAAATCTTTCTGTCGCAGTGATGACATGGATAAAATGACATTATTTTAGCACGATTATTTATGCCCATAACGATATTGTTCAAGGCACTAGACTTTAGAAATGTAATGATTTTGCCATTAAATTTAAGAGGATTTAGATTTAGGCACTAAATATTTTTGGCAGCCACTTACATTTGTCATGGGTCATCTTTCACTACAATATTGATATTAGAACTTTCACATTTCACTCTTCTTTCTTCTCTTCCACGAAATCCACTCCAAATCAACGAAAATCCATTTAAAGATTTGACATGATAATACTCTTATTTCCTTTGATAGCCATCTGATGATGCTAGTTTTGAGGTATATTATTCATCGTCTCCAAATAATGTTTCTCACCGTTTGAATTTTCGAACAAACATCACAAAGTCTTCAAATCTAAGAAACCCCTAAACTCTTAAAAATGATAGAGTTTTGTTTAATTTAATCGATTTGGAATGTACTTTGTGGAAAATCAATCTTATGAGAAAAAGATGGGTGAAATGTTAATGTTTTAATAGTAATTTGACCATGAAAGACAGTCGATGATGGGTGTCGATTGGCTGCCAACGACGGCCAAAAAAGTGTAGTGCCAAAAAATTATCGTTTAAAAGTTTAGTGACAAAATTGATATACCATTAAAGTTCAATACCTAAAATGATGTTATTCTAGGTATAAATAGCTGCACCAAACGATGTTGTGTTGTACATTACATTGTTCCATTAAAACGATGAATTTTAATGACTCAGTTATATAATTGATGTCAAAGTCAAAATTTAATGCTATAGTTGAATTGATTAAAAATTAAGCGGTATACACCGGTAAGTTTAGTAGTATTTGTTCAAAAAAGTTTAGTAGTGTTTGCCGTAGTTGAACCTAAAAAAACAAAGCCTTCCATGATCTTTTAGATAATGCTTGAGTACTACTAACATTAGAGTTTTAAGCAAAGATTTACATACCTGGGCATCCTGAGGTTAGATAAGGGTTCCCTACATAACCATGTCTGCATCTGCAACGATAACCTCGACTCGTACTACCTGATCCATATCCAACACAGTCGCTGTTCATTCCTTTGCAACTTGTTCCAGCTGCTTCACAAGTCTCATTGCCTATAACCCAATCAAGAACCAATGAGGAACTCTCGATCTTTGACGAGGAACAACCATTGAGATCCGATGCCTCGAACCTGTAGCTCTTGGTCCACCACGAAAGCATATCCACAATTATCATGAGACGCGGAGAAACTGTATAGATCATTTATCTTGGAATCGTTGAGAAGGTTCTCGATAATTTCTACGTGAATCGTTTTAGTACCCTCAGGAATGGAGTCCTGACAGCAGCCGAGCCCGAGCAAGACCCACTGGTAACATCCGACGCTTGTCGTTGCACATGAGAAGCAGCCGGTCGTGATATTCACATCTTGAAGGTATAATAAACCGAGGGAGTTGCAGCCTATGACGGTGAACTTGTTTGCAGTGTTGTTGAGAACAAACGGTGTATTGGTCAAAATGATGCTGGCTACACTCGAAACTGGAGTTCCGTACCCTGTGCCACTGAACACGTTGTTCCTACACGAACCTGGTTACGAGGAACGGATATGTCGACTACCTCATGAAAATCAGCCCCAAGCGTAAGAGTGGCTTCGGTGGACTGTAGGAAGCGTTGCAGGTTACTTCAAAGCCAGGCATGAAGCATCCTTCACCGATACCGAAAGGGTAATCGATTGAGAAATTCCCACAGCTCCGTTGGCAGTCAGGCTTCGGGTCTCCGGCTGCCGATGATAAAAACAATGCCAAAACAATCCATGGAAGCCTGAGCAGAGGACGCTGAGATGCAAACATTGTTCGTCGTGAGTGGGGTATAGAGTAGAGGACAAAAGAATTATGATAAAATATGGAGGACTATCATGTTATTAAAGATCACGAGTGTCGCTCCCCGAATAAACAAATAAAAAACAAGAAAATACCTAATAGTTTTATAAACTATATTAACGCCCTTTCCTTTTCTAATACGTTTTGCATGACATTATCACCTGCTTTATACTATAAGGTAAAGTGATTGTATGAGACACTTGTCACGTTCGAGGAAATGAAATTTGATCAAGTAACATAAAAAAATATGTAGAGATAAAACTCCCTCAAATAATACTAATCTACACATGGTTTTGACCCGTAAATAATTCCCTCAATTCCACTAAAAGTCAAACTCAATATTTTTTCAACTTTGACTACAATTATTTTAAATATTTTAAAATTTTAAATTTTATAAAATACATATTTCAAAATTATTTGATTGAATGTTTTTAAAAATATTTTTTCATATTTTATCAACAATAAATTTTAAATAATAAATAGTTAAAGTTAAAAAATTGACTAAAGAATTGTCAATAAAGAATAGTTTTATTGGGACGAAGGTACTAGTAAAATGTGTTTGAATTCTTTAAACAAATAAAATTCTAAAAATAACAAATTTAAATTTCAGCACTTTTTTCTAAACTTCCTTTGACAATTTCAACAATCTAAGTCATTAATGTTGATTGATTATTATGGTTAAACCAAGGACCTCATTGGTCAGTGTTAAGAGTAGCTGATGAAGTTGTGTTATCTAATCTTGTTTGAGGTTCCACTACATTTCATTGTATGAGTTACCTTAGCTCTCGTTTATGAAAAAAAATGTCAGAGTACTGCCTCTCTTTCCTCTCTAATGGTGAATGCAAACAGTAGACACTGCTACCTATTTAGAAATGAAAATGGCTCCTTAAAAGTTGCTTATTTGATCTAAATCCAGGTGGATTTGGTCATAGAGACTGATAAGGCACGAGAGGACCTTGTTTTTAATCAACTCAAGCCCCATTGCCCCTCTCACAAGGTTAGCCATTTCTCTTTATCTAATTATCTACCATGTATCTATCAAGATTCGAATACGATTGTTGTCGGAAGTGAACCCTTTTATTGATACGGCTGTAGATGCTGTCTGTTTTAGTTCATCGGAGAAGAAACCACTGCTGCCTGTGGTACATGGGAGTTGACTGAGCCTACTTGAATAGTTGAACCTCTCATGATGTTGGAAAAAAATATGTATTTAATTGATATATTTAATATTTATATTAGATATGTATTATTTTTTATTATTGTAAATTAAAAGATATTTTTAATCTGTATGTTAGTACAATAATTACTCTTTGATAATATCAATTTTAAAAGGTATTTGTTATTTTTTTAACTTTGAATATTAAAGATAATTATATATTTTTAGTATTTCAAATTAAAATAATATCTATTTAAGTTTAAATGATAAAAGGAGTTTGTCTTTTAAATATTTCAAATTAAAAGATATTATTATATGTCTAAAATTGAATATTGAAAGATATATGGTTGGATTAAATATCTCTTGGAAATCTCCTATAAATACTGAGTTTAGGGGCGTGCAAAAAGATTCGATCTGATCTAGTGATCTGGTGATCCGATCTGAAAATTTGGATATCCGATCAATTTTTTGATTTTCAGATAATTTGGATCGAATATCCCAAAATTTTTCGGATAATCAAATTGGATATAGATCGGATAAAATCCACTTTCAGATTATCCTAAATCTGAAGAAAAAAATTGTACCTTTAAATTTTAGATGCATTTAGCCCAATAAATGAGTAACCCACTAACCCATCAAAGCACTAACTCAATAAAAATTAAAGTATTTAATCATTTATTGTGTGTAGTAATTAAAATGTATATATATAGTAGAAGTATCGAATATATAACATTAAATCACAAAATTTAAAATTTTAAAATTATTTTTTTTGTCAAATTAAATTTTATATTCAGATTCGGATATCCTATCTGAAAAATCGAATGCCCAAATTTTGGATATCCGATTTTTTCGAATCGGATACGAATCACTATTTTAGGTATATGAAATTTTCAGATATCCAAATTTTCGAATCAAATCGAATCCGATATCCGGTTTTGCACACCCCTAACTGAGTTAACATGCTAGGTTAAATATAAATTACAAGTTTTCAATAAGCTTTTTGACAAGTTCAAAAGAAAAAAAAAAGTTTTCCCTTCCACTAGTTTTGCGATGATAGACGAAGGCAAGGATAATTCGGGATCTCTACTGTTGTGCTACAGTAGTTGATTATCTAGTTGTTATATCCTGAGAGACAGACGACCAACGAACTCGAGCAACAAAGCGAAAATCTGTCTTAAGGAAACTGTGTAGTGAGATGCTTTAATTGTTTCCTATCACAAGACCACAATTAAGAAAATAGTATTTTTTATTTTTATTTCATTTATTTTTGATTTGGTTTCAAGAAATTTAATTTCTTTTTTTCCCCTCAGGTTTGATTTTGTCTCGAATTATTATTTCGGATAACAATTTCAAGACAGAGTAGACTCGTTCTATCCCTTTGATTTTATAATGATATTTCATTATTATTTTTTCTATATCATTCTCGGATTACGAATTTTCAAACAATCGTAAGAAAGATTTTATTCTTATTTTCCGAGATGATATAAATTTCGTTTGAGTTTAATCCTTATTGTGTATAAGGGAAGTGCCAAAAATTTGACAAAACAAATATTGGGCAAAAATCAAGAGAAATTTACACCAAAGATAAGTTTCATTCAATTTTGAATTTATGAATTTCAAAATTCTTTGTGGAATAATTTTTAGTTTAATTTTTAATGTGAGACATGATTCCACTCATTTATGTGTAGGGATTCAAATAATTGGATTACAAAATCTTCGCAAGATCTTAGGGGTTGTGCATTTTGTGGGGCACACATTGAATCATGATGGTTTAACTTTTGATTAACAATGGTGAAATTAATAAAGATGATCAAGAATTCAAGTTTTGGTTGACAACGCTAAAATTAATTAGGTAGGAGAAATTTGAATATTTTCCTTTAATCTGAAGTGATTTGGAACTATTTCTTCTATCTTTTTTCAATCTAAAATGGGTCAAATATAATGGTAAAAATTGAGATAATGAACAAATTTGTTTTAAAATTTATCATGACGTCTTAACGGGTTTGTTAAAATCTCAAAATGGAAAAAATTATTTAACTGAATCTGTCATTGAAGTAACATTGGTTACCGATTTTGTTTCAAAATGTTAATTCTGCTCGGTAACAAAATTGAAAATAAATGAGATAAATGTTGTTATCACATGCATTACTATTTGGAAGTATTATGACTTCTTATATTGGAAAATTCATCCTGAATGTATTATCAAATACACTATATAAGGTGTACAATATCCATAAAAGAATTATGGATAACAATGGAACATAAGATATAGAACGGAAGATGTTGACACTAAAGAAATTTTAGTGGTCAAATTCTTAAAATTCGTAATAATGACACAGACGAGTGAGAATAGATATTTTATTACCTCCTTTGATGATAACGAAAGTATTACAATATGTATTTACTAAAAGGGCAAAGGTGAAAAATAGAAAAAAATTGTTTTCTATAAACATAAAGTTGAAGACCAACTTAATAAATAGATTAAGATAGAAAGAAGTGATAGTGATGGTGAATATATTAAATCATTATGCACAACATGATATTATTCATTAACATGATATTATTCATTAACATGATATTATTATCTCTATATTCTTTTAAAATAAATATAGTAGCAAATTTGAAGAATTAACCCTTAAAGGAAATAATGAATGAAATAATGAATTAGGTGACAATTGGCCTTTTAAGACATTTAAGTTGGTTGAAATATAGACTTTTGTCTTTCTTTATCACAACTTAAACGAATGTTGCCGGGTTTATGCCATGCAGCTCTTTACTAGTGTACATGGAAAAGGTGCTTTTCTCAACGAGACCCTTTTAAGAGGTGAATCTAATGCACAATGATTACAATATAGAGTAAACTATGCATTTAGTATTTAACTCTTAGTTTTAATCCATTTTAGTACATAAACTTCCAACTTTTTTTAAAACTTAACGTGAAGTTTTAAACATGAATTAAAATGAAACAAAAACTAAACGTTAAGTATGGTTTTGAAAAAATTAAAAGTTTAGATATTAAAATGGAATAAAACTGATAGTTTAGGTACTATATATAAATCTAGGTCCAAAACTTAACTGAAATATCTTAAAGATCTGTTCTTCTGCTCTGAAATTTTGCAATGTCATCTCGAACCGAACTCATAAAGTCTCTACTTGCAACAGAGGTGTGGAGCTTCTTATGATCTGAAATTTCATTTTACCCCTTTTTTTATTGTTGAGTGTAACTGAGGTACTGAACTTGATAATGCTTGGGTCCAACTTCTAATCCTGTTTTAGAAAATATTAGCTGATAATGCTTTGTAAGCAAGTAAAAGCTTGACTAACATTTTCCTGTTGAGCAGGTTGGAACAAAACGAGATGTGTTAACGGTGGATACTACTACAAATCGAATCAATAGCTTACTTTTCAAGGTGACATAAAACTAGTGATTTTTCCTTCTTTTGTTGCTATATTTCGCAAACTTGAAATGCGTTAACGATTTCAATTCATTAAAAGGTGAGATCACTACGGATGAGCGGTTCCTGTGCATTGAACCTTTGTGGAAGGTTTGACCTGTTTTACAAAGTCCTCAAATCTAAGAAACCCATAAACTCTTAAAAATAATAGAGTTTTTGTTTAATTTAATCGATTTGGAGTGTACTTCTTGGAAAATCAATATCATGAGAAAAAGATGGGTGAAATGTGAACGTTTTGATAGTAATCTAACCATGAAAGACAATCGACGATGGGTGTCGATTGGCTGCCAACGACGGCCAAAAAAGTGTAGTGCCAAAAAATTACCGTTTAAAACTTCAATGACAAAATTGATATACCA